TCGACGTCGCCTCCAGAGAGGGGAACGACACCCCGCGGGTGCCATCGACGCCAGCCGGCCAAACCGGATAGGATTTTCATCCGTAATGTTGCGCATCTCCACTCCGACGAGGTACCGGGCAACACTGTTCCTGAAGCCTCGCACTGCTGTCACCGTAGCAAATCCGCCGAAGCCGTGTAGACGTGGCCCAACACCACCCGCACTGCCGAGAGAGCACGAATCAGGCCTCCACCAACATCGCTGTCGAGAAGCAACCATATCCTCCAAGCGTAGTAAAAGCCAGATCCGCTCCATCGGCCTTCATCGACACCGAGAGACTACTGCCAGATTGGATCTGGCCCGCCCCTCCAACCTCACTCTGGCGCCATCTCCACCGGGGCATCACCGCGATCCCCTCACACGGAGGCGGCCGGAAGCCCGCTGCACGCCAGGACACCTTCCTGGCAGGGCCATCTCGGCGCCGCCGCGCCCATGGCTGATCCAACGCCGTCGCCGCCGTTGCTGGCGCTCCACCTGTAGCCACCTACCGGTAGTGCTCCTCGCCAAGATCCGGCGAACGCCCTCGTCGTGTCCCCGCAGTGCCTCCAAACCTCCACCAAACAGCCGACACCACCCCGCCAAGCACACCGCAACCACCAACACCACCATGGTGCCCAGCAGCAGTCAGCCTTGGCGAAACCACAAGACGAGGAACCAAAGGCGAGAGCTTCCCTACCGCCATCACCTGCACCATGCAGAGATGACCGGCCAAGCAGCCCGAACATCACCACCGGAGCCAGATCCGGCAACACCAAGCTAGCTCTGACGTCCCAATGCACCACGACTGCTGCCGCTCTTCTAACCACACCTGGACTAGAGCACGAGCAACACGTCTCCCTTCTAGTCGCGCCAGAACCCATCTAGCGCGCCAGATCGAGAGCACGAGCACACTGCCGCCCTTCAAGCCGCGCCAGATCGGCAACTCGCAACCGCCGCCTTGAAGCTCCTTTCCCCGAGTCGCTCCCCATCCAAGCCGACCACCGCGCCGTTGAAGGAGCCCGAGGCCAAACTCCCCGGCGCCCATGAACCGCGTGAGCAACGCGCCGTCCAGGGCCGCGCGCCGCACCGGCCGGATCCAAGCGAGCCAGGCCGGGCGGGGTAGGAATCCGCCGCCGCAGACAAGGTCACGCGAGGGAGAACACCCCGCCGCCGCTGACCACCATCGAAGTTTTGCCCGGCGGCGTCACCTGGCGGCGGCGAGGGGGCAGGGAGAGGAGGTGTGGTGGGCGGCGGCGGGCTAGGGTTCATCCGTGTCGCCCCCCTGGGAGCGACGCGGACGCGAGGAGGATGACCTGGTATTCCTGGTAGAGTGGTGAGTTGGAGAAAGTGAAAGTCTGCTATAAATTTAGATTGCAACAAATGGGCTCCATGCGAACCAACCTCTGGTTGAGATGGTTAGGTGGACAGTGGTATTCCCAACCCATCAGGGTTCAAATCCTGATGCTCGCATTTATCCTGGTGCTCGGCGCGGCCACCGACTCCGATCCGTCCGCGACTCCAAACACCTCTCCCGGTGTCGACCGAGACAACGACGCCAGTTCCGTGTAGGTACGAACCGCCGCTCCCTCCCCTCCTCTCCTCTCCGCTCATGGCCGTGGTCTGGGGTCGGAAAGGCCGCCGGGGTGCATCAGGAAGGGCTCCTCAACCTGGTCTTAGAGTTTGTGGATTGAGTTCGTAATCGCGCTTGGATTAGTACTGTAATGTTGTGCTGTTAGCAGCATGTTGCAATTCTCATAATGATTTGATTGTGGGTATGTCACGAACTGTAGATTTTTGTATATAACATTATAACTGGTCTATCTGCTTGTCTATGAAAATCTAGTTATCAGCGAGATTGAGCCTAACTTGCTTTGGTGGGGCGTGGTCATTCAATCACATCATCTTGATTCACATACTCACAAATATGATTTCAGTTTCATATATAGTACTGTCATGGCTATCATGCAAAATTATAGGAATACGTTCTCTGAAAACTTCTAAAATATCCCATTTCACTTTGCTACTATCATAGTTTACATTCTGAATGTGTGTACATGTGACTTTGTGGTACTTGTATCTTTACGCTTAACTGAACCAACTTATTACGTACTTAACATGATTTTTGTGTGTCAGATCATTACTCTTGCTACCAGAACAATATTTAGTATGTTATGACAGTTGCACACATACCATATCCAAATTTATCTAACCTTTTGCCTGGGTTGCACTCGGCCTTAGTACATGTGTAATCTATTAAAGTCTTCCGAATCTATCATTTCATTGTCATTTATGTCCGCCCTAAACTATGCCCAATTCAAGAGTACCTTATCTTGACTCTTTTCTACTCACGCGACTCTTGTCTTACATAAATGAATCCAACATGTCGATAGAATAGACCTAAGATATCCAAGAATACGACATGATTTGTTGATATTAAACCAATGCCAGTTGATGCTTTGTGATGTCAAATGGTCCTATCCAGATTGCTCATTTTAATTCTAATTACACATTCTAGTTAAGGTTGACACGATTTTATGTGTTAGTCATGATCCTGATAAAGCTATTAATCTCAACCTTCTGTTTATATGTTTGAGCTTATGTCTGGACTGAAATTGAACTATTCTAAGAGGGGGGGAAATTCAGTTGCTGAATTTACTCTGATGTTTTTGGCTGCCCTGTTGGAACTCTTCCCTTTGAGTACCTACGAGTCCCTGTTTCTTTTGCTGCTTTGGAAGCTTGTAACCTTGATTTCCTGGAGGCTAGGATGATCCGAAAACTTGATGCCTGGCTAGGTTTGCACGGAATGAGAGTATCAAGGACTTATTTTCTTATTGTCCCCTTGCTAGGTTTGTATGGAATGTTGTTGGTGCGTCAACTGGGATAGGGTTTAATTTCAGTGATCCTGAATCATGCTTCAATATTTGGCTAAAGGGCATGGGGGCTGAATCTAGGACGGTCTGCACTGTTGGGGTAGCATCTGTCTTCCAGAGTACATATGGAAAGCACACAACCTTGCATGCTTCCAGCAGAAGTAGCCTGCTGAACCCCTTGATGTCATTTTTCGAGTGGTTTACTGGATTAATTGTTTGTCTGATTTGACAGGTGAAGGACTCTTGAAAACAACAAGCAAGATCGCTGGAGCTAGTCAAAGCTGAGGTGTTCCGTGCGAAGAGTAGTTGGATCTTTTGGGTCCCAAGATTGGAGATAAAGATCATCTGTCCTTGATTTGCTAGTCATGACTGAGGTGTTCGAGCATAGCGCTGTTGTTTTTTGCTTCTGAAATGCGCTTGGTTTCGTATGCCAGAGATTTTGAACTGTCGCTACCTTTGCTTTAGGATGTAATCGGGAGTGGTTGAACTCCCCCCCCCCCCTCTGCTTTCTTTGCTGGTTACTTCTGTTATAGATGATTGCAGTCTTATAAAGGTTGGAATGAAACTAGAACTCTAGAAAGTATGATGAGGAGCAAAGCACCAAAGAGAAGAGTATTGGTTTGGTTTTGTGCAGTGTAACAAAAATGACTAATGTAGTTACCCATTGTTGTCTTCTTTTTGTTGACAGCCTAGATGTGATAGTAGTCATCTCATTTAACATGGTGAACTGTTCTGACATGCAATCTTTATTGGCATCACAACTCTTTTTTCTCTCGTCCATGCATCTAAATGAATGTCATTGTGTATTACTGTAGAAGTTACCAGCTTCAGTTTTGTTTGTTTTTGTTTTTGGTCCACGTCGCCACATCTCAGATACCACAAGGTAATTTCTGTTGCTTCCCTTCATCTCCATTGCTTCGTGCTTTTGCCTTTATTACGTTGGTGCATCTAGGTGGACAAAGGCCATCTCAGATGTGCTTCATACAATTGGATTTCAGATTATTTTGTCCACCATGGTGGTTAGAGAAAGACAAGAATCCAGAGACCTATAGTAGATATGCAAATGTCAGTACTCTGCTCCAGTGGGAAAAATGGGAAGAGCAGGTTGTTTACTGAAAGTAACAATAAACCACACGTAAAATTAATGCATCACCAAGGAGCTCTAGTCCAGTGAGAATAATCTGTTTTGACCAGGCCATAAAATGTTGTATGCTGGTTATTTTGTCATCTGCAAGCCATGAGCCGTAACAAACCATATAGCAATAGCGCAATGGTGCACAATTTCCTTGCATGTGTTTATTAGAGCAGTTCTAAGCCCTCAGCAAGTTATGGGTGGAATTTGGGCTGATCCATGTCTCTTTTTCTGCTGTGCTATCTACTTCAGAGTTCCTAACGCATGTCAAGCCTACATGTTCCCGGCGCTACAAAGCGTGCCTAATCTTCTTCTCTTCTTTTTTTGCGATGGGTGCCTAATGATTTATAGTAACAAGAAAGACATAACACCAGGTTTTGCACTGTGATTCCGACTCTAAATCACAACAAAACAATAAACCACCGGCGCATAAGTCAGCTCCACCAAGCACCAACAGAAGCCTCATCGTTGCAAAAAAAAAAATGTACCACCTCCTTATCGCAAGATGGCAAACGAAATATTACATGATCGAATGAAAAGGTTCTTCTCCATTTTCGTCTGTCTGAACATCCAAACTTCAAATAGTTGAGCACGAGTGCACGACTCACCTTGATCACATGTTCCAAGTGGAGAGAGAGAGAGAGAGAGAAATATCATCTGGCTATCGCCAGCACAATAAGCTCTTCACTTTTACTTTTTTTTGGAAATAAGCTCTTCACCATCTTTTGGAGGCAATAAGCTCTTCACTTGATTTTTTTTTTTGAGGGAAAACTCGTCATCCGTTAAGGAACAAGGAAGGCTTCTTTGGGCCCAAACGAAAGAAACAAAGACCACCAATTTAGGCCCAGCCCAAACGATTCTCCGCCCACACCACCATATTTAGACTCCACTCCTCACTCCATCCAAAACCCTAGCACCAGTCCCGCCGCCGCCGCTGCCGCCCTGACCCTCGCCGCTGCTGCAGCCTCCACCGCGCAACCATGGTAATCTCTCATTCCGCTCCCTCCTCCTCGTCTTCCTCTGAACTGTACGCCTAGCTGACACCGTCCGTTCCCGTGGCACCCAGGGTATCGACCTCGTCGCCGGCGGCCGCAACAAGAGGACCAAGCGCACGGCGCCCAAATCGGACGATGTGTACCTCAAGCTGCTCGTCAAGGTCAGTCCCCCTTCGATCCGGTGTCACCGCAGCACCCCCGTCTACTGCTCAGGGATTCAGATTTACCGCAATTGGATTTCCTGTTCGTAGCTCTACCGCTTCCTGGTCCGGAGGACCAAGAGCCAGTTCAACGCCGTGATCCTGAAGCGCCTCTTCATGAGCAAGACCAACCGCCCCCCGCTCTCGATGCGCCGCCTCGTCAGGTTCATGGAGGGGAAGGTATCCCTCTCTCGCGCGCGGTGCCATTTTTTGTTTACCTTTGGTCAGGATGAATCCATGTGAAGCTTACCTGGGCGGTGTTTGTGGTTGTGACACGCGTGTAGGAGGACAAGATCGCTGTGATAGTGGGCACCATCACCGATGACCAGAGGGTCTACGAGATACCGGCAATGAAGGTGGCCGCGCTCAGGTTCACCGAGACGGCGAGGGCCAGGATTGTCAATGCCGGTGGCGAGTGCCTTACCTTTGACCAGCTCGCGCTCCGTGCTCCGCTTGGACAGAACACGGTATGGCTTGAGTTCTCCTTTTTTAGCTACTGTATTTGCTAATATTGCTGTTTGATGCATTTTATATTGCATGAGGTAGTATCCAAAGCTTTACAATCGAAGCAGACAATTATATTGTTTGAACTATTAAGTATGCTAGACTCCTGCAGGTGGAGAAAACCAAGTTTATTGTTCATGCTCATAGTGTGTTACAGAGAGACTTTTAGGTGTAGGTTGTGGTAGGGTATTCAAGGAACGATGTATTATTTTTCTGATTCATCGGTTTTCCTATTGTCAGGTGTTAAGGGTACACATAAACGAAGTTGATATATCTGTCTAAATCTATATCGTGTACCTACAGCCAATTGCAGTTTTTTCATGGTTGTGCTGGACAGCTGGTCAAATTTCCAACTTTAACTAACTTGTTGATGATTATTTAACTACTATATCTTTTCACTGAGAAAGTCAATCTTAATGGTCAAATATGTACATATGCTTATTTTATGGTAGTAGTTGCGGTCTTGGTTACAAGGTCTTGTCTACTTTATTTTCCTTTGTTAAGAGTTGTTTAAAACTTGCATATGTTCTCTTTGCATAAATAGTAATGTAAATCTTTGTTGATTCATAGTACTCCCTCCGTCCTGGATACTTTTCGCGGAATGAATAGAAATGTATGTGTTAGAACTTAAATATGTCTAGATTCATCCACTTTTACGACAAGTAATTCCGGACAGAGGGAGTACGTGATAATTCAGTGTGTGTGTTGTTGCCGCTGTTCCTTCTTGACATGGTCTTTATGATTTCATTGTGTTGCCGTGTCTTTAGACTTTAGTACATGCTACTGATGCTAGAATCTTTGGTATTGTAGTCATGTAGAGGTATTTGCTCTGATTTACGGTATCCTTTTTCTTTTGTTTTGAGATGTGTCAAACATGTGGTATGATGATGGTTTCCCCCTTCCCATAAATAAGTGATGAACCTCAATATGAGCTGCATGCTTTTGAAGCGTTATTCATGGATAAATGCCATAGACAACCATTTTAACAGTTTACATTTTCTTAATAGCTTCTCCTGAGGGGTCCCAAGAACGCCAGGGAGGCTGTTAGGCACTTTGGCAAGGCTCCAGGAGTGCCACACAGCCACACCAAGCCATATGTCCGCTCCAAGGGCAGGAAATTCGAGAAGGCAAGAGGAAGGAGGAACAGCAGGGGCTTCAAGGTTTAAGCCGTGGAGTTTTCGGCACCCTTGTCACATTTGCTGTTATCGGTCAATCTTCACTTTTTTGGGTACCAGAATCATACTGCTTTAGATGTCAGAGTCTTGTGTCGATGAGTATTCAGAACCAGTTCATTCTTGTTTCAGTATTTTGCAACTTGAGACCATGCTTGCAATCCAGTTATGAATATCATTTCTAGTATCAGAAGTTGTCTCCGTTTGCAGTGTCGTTGGTGTTAGGCTGCTTGTGCTCATTCTACTTTTCAAATGTAACTTTTCAGTGTTCGTTAGATGATATTTGGCGATTCTCACTAAATTGGCCACGAGGATGGCTGGTATCAAGATCCGATGACAGTGGCCGTCAAAAGCAGATCATAATTCATCATAAGCACAATAATAATTAGGTAAAAGCAATATTACATGTAGAAGAAACGAACAGTTTCTATCTATCACATAGGCACTTGAGCGTTGATGTTGCCAAAGTTCCAGAGCTCCATCCCGGGCTCGTCCTGCTGCGGCAGCTGGTGCGCGTACGCCACCTCTGGCGCCATGTACGACGGCTGGTGGATGAAGCCGGCCACGTTGGCGACGTCGTAGTCGTCGAGGTCGAGGGGCGGGTCCTCGTTGGGGAAGTTGACCTTGGCCTTGGTCCCGCGGATGCGGCGGGCGGCGCGGTCGTAGGCGCGCGCGGCGCCCTCGGGGGTGGCGAAGGTGCCGAGCCAGACGCGCGCCCCCTTGGCCGGGTCGCGGATCTCCGCCGCCCACTTGCCCCACGGCCGCCGCCGGATGCCGCGGTACATCGTCTTGCGCTCCCGCTTCCTGCTCGGCTCCTCCTCCGCTGCACGCACGCACGAACGCCGGAAGGCAGAAGGTTTTCACGGTACGTTCGGGCACAGATAGTACGTAGGAGCAAGTGCTTGGCGTGATGCTAGAACGTGATGGTACCTTGGTGCTCAGGCGTGAAGGCGCCGGCGCCGGTCAGGTCGGCTGGGTAGAAGTCGTGGTGGCCGGTAGGGTCGTCGAACGCGGCGCCGGCGCCGGCCGCATTTGGCCAGAAGTCGGCGGTGCAGAGGCTCCGCTTGCTCCCGCCGCGGTGGTCGCGCTCCGGGATGAAGTCGGAGATGATCGCGCCGCCACACATGGTGTATGCTGCTTATAGAGCAAGTAGAGGAGAGCGCTGGATCTGGTGTAGGAGACGATCGAGTTCTGTAGAAGAAAGGTGGCGCTGCTGTGGCAGTGGGGCGAGAGGTGAGGTGATGTGAGTCGTGTGCGGCGCGCGCTTAAGTAGAGGAGCCGAGCGAGTGAATTCCTCGGAGGTGGAACGTGACGGCGGCCGTCCCGTCGGGGCAGCTTCCTCGGACGGGCGAATCGGTGGACGCCGCATCGCCGCGCGCCGCTGTTTTGCTCGGGTGGTGACCGTGAGACGGTGCGTCGCGTGCGCGTGATCCCGGCCGACCGGGCCCGAGATCATCTGCTCACCGTGCCGCCTTTAGTTCAGATAGAATTAACAACTCCCTGGCCTACGAGCCTACGACAGTCTCGGACCCCCGGGTTTCATTTTCATCGCAGCCGCGTGGTCTGGTACTCTGGTCTGGTCTGCCGTGGCCGCCGCCTCTGCTTTCAGGAAGCCCTGTGCGGAGCCGCAGCCGCGCCATGCGTGTTGGCAGCGATGCGTGCGCTGCTGAACAGTCTGGGTAATGCACTGTTGTCCTGCCGAATGGGATGCGTAATAACCCGACGGCGGCCCACCGGATGCCGCGGCCGTCGACGGGTTATGCATCGGGACCTTTGTCTGACCCGGAGTCCGTCTGACTTCGGCTAAGCTCGCGTCGCATCGCTTAATTGCACGTGATATCGTCGTTATCATTCGAGCAAGTTATGCGCATTTTCTTCAGCAAGCAGGCGTTATGTACTACTCCCTCCGTCCCAAAATAAGTGACTCGACTTTGTACTAACTTTACTAAAGTTAGTACAAAGTCGAGTCACTTATTTTGGGACGGAGGGAGTACAACTCAGTACCGTCTCTTTTCTTTTTACTCTGCATATTAAAATTGTTTGAAGTCAAACTTTGCAAAGTTTTTTTTCTCTAGCGAAAACCGTATTGGAAAATATCCACAATATCCACATCTACAATGCATAATAAATATAATATAAAAATATATTCCATGATGAATCTAATGATGGTAATGCTATATTATGAATGCCAATAATTTTGGTACAAACTTGGTCAAAATACCGCCTTCACGCATGTCATGCGTCCCAGTGAGGCCCACACACCGCCCTCCCTCTACCGCATGAGAATCCAAGCAAGTCGTTTATTTTCCAACAACAACCTGATCCTCCATTCCTCCTCTCTCTTGCAAGTCATCGGCCCAACCTCCCCCTTCGGCCTCATTGCGTCGAGGCTCCAAAGTTAGGGTGCATGTTGCAAGATCGGCGCTGCGCTGCGCACAATATGTGCTGCGAGCTTGTCTCCGCCATGCCGCAAGGCCGCGACCAAGGCACTGCTACAAGCCTATCCCGACCACTCCACGAGCGGAATTGTCGGCTCGCTAGCGAGGTATTGTTGCACTTGCAGGGGGAACACTACCTAGGCTACTACCACCGCTGCAAGTTGGTGGCTGAAGGCGAGCTGTGACGGTGCCCATGGGATGTTGCGACCAACGACAACGTGTTGCAACCGTTGCCGGCAAAGCGTCAATGCTTTGAGCGGGTAACGAGTTGACTGTTGTGACCAAAGCTGCAAGGCTGCGGGGTGACGAGCCAGCGGTGCTTCCAGCAACAAGACTAGGAGCTGGCGGGAGGTGTGTGTGTGTGTGTGTGTGAGAGTGGGTGGCTTTATTAAACAGTTCCGCACAGCCCATCCAAACTAAAACCAAAAAGTTAATCCCAATCCAAATACTACACCGGTCCACCCCGTTTGCCGGGAATGTAATTCTCTCCCCGTGCATAGCTTGTGTGAGATGACGCCACGTGGTCCACCTGGCGATCCGACGATTCGCTGCTGAGACGCTCAGTTCGTTGGTTCTCGGCTCGGCAGCCCCTGCGCTCGGCTCCAAAACTTCGGCTCGGCTGGGATTAGGCGCACGACCCGCACCCCATCTGGACTGGAGTCAGCGCATCTCTTGTCGCCGCCGCAGCCGGATTCCATCCCTTGGCGCAGTCGCCTCCGTCATTCGCCACCGGCTGATCGTCCGCTTGCCGCTCGTCATCTCCTTGGTCCCCGACCTGCCCCTCGTCCGACACAGGACAGCGGGAGCGCGGCCGGCAGCCAAGCGACACAGGTACGCCTCCAAATCCGCATATTCCCATTTTTTTGCTTCTAGTGTTAATCTATTTCGTTCTAGTGGAAGTGGTGACCATTAACATTTGATTAATCACCGTGCAGTACCTTAGCTGCCAGGAAACGTTGGTTTCAGCAGAAAAACCTTGATGATGTAAATAATGACGACGCAAAGATTAATATTGTCTCACCCTAGACAAAACTCTCTTCCATGTTTGTCACTTTGAAGCTGCGATGTCATGCATAACACATGTGTATACTTCACTGTCTAACTGAATAAACTTGAAACCGGTTCTTTGCAGAAGATTTGGGAACCACTTCAGCATTGCAGAAAAGGAGACTGAAAGGAAACCATTGGAGATGATGGAATGTTTCCTGATTGTTTCTTGTTCAACTACACCCACACAAGGCGTGATAATCTAAGATCACCTAAGATCTGTACAAGCAGCCAGAGTAGGCTTCGTTCATCAAGTGGGAAAATGTAGAACTAGCTGAAGCTTTAGCTATAAGACATGCTCTGAACTTTGCAGCACAAGCATGTTTCAGAAAATGGAAAAGGCATCAGCTTGCTTGTCGTTCATCAACAAGATGAAGAGTGCGGCAAGATAGATCCCATACTAGCATCATAATTGATGATATCATATGTAAAACTGTGAACAGGGCCAGTCCTGAGATTTTGGGGGCCCGGGGCGAAACTAAAACTCGGGGCCCTTCATATAGACATCATAATAATAACAATGAAATATGTATGCATGAAATATTATGAATCAGTATGCGAATCAAATAATTTATACATATTACCTTTAAATTTTCTTCTGCATCCCTCAATGCAAAGCCACTTATGATAGGGTCGATGTCAATCTCATCCAATAATTTCTTCTTGATTCATAATGCAGCAAAGCCATTTAACCTCTCATGAGTCATTGTTGACCTTGAATAATTTTTCAATAAATTCAACTTCTAAAAGCTTTTTTCGGCCGATGCGACCGTGACGGGCATAGTAAATAAGACTGGATAAGCAATGAAGATATTATGATAGCAATCAACTTCTCTGACATGCTCGAAAATCTCCATAAGAAACACTACAATAGAAAATCTTACAACATAAGCAAAAAAAACTTTGCCAGGCATCTTTTGAATAAACTAGCCACTTTTTATCATGTTGCTTTCCATTGCTTAATTTCATAATAACGAGCCTATGAAAAATGTCTTCCTGCTTCTTCTACATGGTATTCCGTTTTTTCTCTCCGACATCCCTTTCTCAACTAGGATGTATCTTGCTTTATTATCAGGAGCATGAACATGTTGTTCATCAAGACTAGCAGATTGTGCATGTGCATCTGATGAATTACCTACATTCTCGAAGCCACTTACATTGTTATCACCGATGTTGGTGTCAGCATTTTCTTCTCGTTGATCATATTTTGAATTCCAAATAGGTTACTGCTCTTCCTCGATGGCAACCATCGCCAACTCATCATCTTGGTTTACCGAAGCAGTGGAAGCATCACTTTTACTCTTGAGGAATTTGTGCATATCTCCGCGCTGTGATTGTACCAATTTATCCACGGCCTTCTTTATTTTCCTTTTATCGCTACCCGATGTATACGTATTGTTTCCTTTACGACATGATAACACAATGCTGGAAAAAAAGTTGCATCAATTTTTAAAAAGTATCGGCTTATGCATCAAGGAACGGCAATATGTTACACCTAATGGTCAATTTGGTGATGAGTGTTAGTGCGTGTACCTACACAGAATTACAGATCGAGGTCCGTGGAATTGAAATCAGCGGGAACTAGATTATACGTGTTTCTAACTGCCTATATAGAATTGCAGATGGGGGCCCTAAGAACTGAAATCAGCAGCTAATTAGGAAGGAAATTACCAGGACACATGAGGGAGGAGGCGGCAGTACCAGTACTAACGTCGGGCGGCGGCGGCTTAGGGCTCGAATAGCTGCACCGACCTGATTGCCGTGATGGAATTGGAAAGGCTCGCGTCGATTGCTCCCTTTTTCCATGTGAAGGACTCGCTCCCGGTTGAATCGATCTCGGCAAGCGATCGGCCTGCTGCTTGCTGCGCTACTGCGTGAAGCCTAGCGCCCAGCCCTTTCATTTTTTCCTGACATAGGCCCATAGCCTACCTAGGCCTAGTTCTTGCATACCTGGTGTCAGCATTTTCTTCTCGTTGATCATATTTTGAATTCCAAATAGGTTACTGCTCTTCCTCGATGGCAACCATCGCCAACTCATCATCTTGGTTTACCGAAGCAGTGGAAGCATCACTTTTACTCTTGAGGAATTTGTGCATATCTCCGGGCCGTGATTGTACCAATTTATCCACGGCCTTCTTTATTTTCCTTTTATCGCTACCCGATGTGTACGTATTGTTTCCTTTACGACATGATAACACAATGCTGGAAAAAAAGTTGCATCAACTTTTGAAAAGTATCGGCTTATGCATCAAGGAACGGCAATATGTTATACCTAATGGTCAATTTGGTGATGAGTGTTAGTGCGTGTACCTACACAGAATTACAGATCGAGGTCCGTGGAATTGAAATCAGCGGGAACTAGATTATACGTGTTCCTAACTGCCTATATAGAATTGCAGATGGGGGCCCTAAGAACTGAAATCAGCAGCTAATTAGGAAGGAAATTACCAGGACACATGAGGGAGGAGGCGGCAGTACCAGTACTAACGTCGGGCGGCGGCAGCTTAGGGCTCGAATAGCTGCACCGACCTGATTGCCGTGATGGAATTGGAAAGGCTCGCGTCGATTGCTCCCTTTTTCCACGTGAAGGACTCGCTCCCGGTTGAATCGATCTCGGCAAGCGATCGGCCTGCTGCTTGCT